ATCTAGGAACCACATTGCCAACAACAGTTGATCAAAATTCCTTGAAGATTAGAAGGCTGGGACGTTGATAAGTTACTGCTGAAAGGGGAAATAGGGGGATATAAGCTGCTGACAGAATTTGAATGACTTCAGTGCTTCTACTATGAACTTGGAGGACGAATTGTTCTACAATGTCTGCAGCTACAGAAGTCATGGATGGGGTGTTTTGTAGCCCATTTACAGTACATTAAGAACATTTAAATATTTGAATTTTAGTAGCTTGGCCAAAGGTTTTCTTCAAGCTGAAGGTATAGAGCTCTGTAGACAACAGGTTTTTTCAAAAAGCAGATAAGGATGACCTTGGAAACACTACAAAGAGGCAACAATAGCCAAACATGCTGACTCCTTATAAAAATATAAAATATTAATATGCAAAATTTCATGTTTACCTGGCTAAAAAGAAAACGTTTTAGGCCTGGCCATAATACATAAATTAAAATGACACACAGCTACTATGCATTCTGCTTAAAACAATATTTTAAAGAACTCAACTCCCCCTCTTCCCTCTCCCAGTTACTTCTTAGAGGAAAGAGCAAGGGGAGCTAAGCTGCTGACTGAATTTGATTGACTTCAGTCCTTATGCTGTGACCTTTGAGGATGAATTGTTTCACAATGATTGTAGCTAAAGAGATATGATGGCATGTTTTATTGCCCATTTACAGACTGTTGAGGACCTTTGAACACTTGAATTAAATAGCTTGGCCGCAGGTTCACTTCAAGTGTAACGTAGAACTTCACTCTCTTGGTCAACATTGACTATCTTTAATCCTTATGCTGCTAGCATTAGTAAATAGATAGGAAGGTATATTATATTTAATGGTTTTAAACTTTTTTTTTTTCCATTTCTTCAGTTACTTCCTGGTTTCCATGTCTAGGCAAATGATGTCATATCCCAGGAGTCTGCAGGAGAGGAGGAGGTGTTTTCTTAGCTAAGCACACCCACCTGCCTGCATGCCTGAACTGATGGTTTCCAGGAAGTAACTACTAAATTAATCATCTGCCCTTACTCAAGATGGCCACAGCCAGAAATGCTAGAGAGAGTTTTTTTCAATGTGATATCTTAGAATGGAGACATGGGTGGATGTGTGAGTTTGCTTTGAATATTAAAAATTATTTAAATAGCATTTTTCGTTTGTGGCGCTCAGAAGCAGTGAAGTTCCACTTTAACCCCTTTATGCCGGCAGCACACAAATGTGAGGCCTCCTGGCGTCTGGGCCTAGACACCGAGCAGCTGCACATTTGCGTTCAAACATATGTGCTGAGAGCCGTGACGACACGTCACTGGGGTCACATGATCCCATTACCACACCCACCCACCTACCCCGCCTCCTGCGTCTGAAACTCTTAAAGGAAGTGCTGGCGGGAAGGGGTTAAGGTACTAAGCTCTTTAGGCAACAGGCATTTTTCCACAAAACAGATATTGATAAGAAACACCTGAAAAGAAAGTGTTCCACCTGCTGACTCTTTGCAAAACTACTTAAATTCACATTTAGTCCTGCCCATAATAAAAATAAATATACACACAACTACGCTGTACTATGCGTGCTGTTGAAAAGAATGTTTTGTACATGTTCAGAAAAAATGCTTTTGGAGTTATTATTATTGATGGTGGACATTGTACATCATGATATTGTACTTTGAACAATCTTTAAGATAGATCAATATATGCAAAACTGTAAATTCTCCTGCTGAGATAAAATCAGTTGCAGGATTGCAATTCAGGAAGCTATTTTTGGTTTGACATAATCCATAGACTTGTTCTGCAGTAGGAAGCAGTAAAGCTGTACTGCTGTGCAGTACAACTAAGCAGACCTTTAAATGTAGTGAGAAAACCTGTATTACATATTGACAAACTATGAACAGAAGCCCATTTTTTAAACATTAACACACTTACTAGATTAGAAACAAGCTGTGCAGCGAGCGCTTACTGTAATAAGGATATGAAAAAGAACCGCTAGAACACCAAAAAGGCAACCAACATAACCTTCCGAGATAATATATAGACAAAAAGGTGCAGCGCTAGTAATGGAAAAGGTGAAACATCAGCATACATCCGATTATAAGAATAAAACAGGTGAGGATATGATATCGTATATTCGTCATAAATATAAGTTCGATGTTCAATCAAATGTCCGAAAACATATAATAGGGTGCAATGTGCCAATTCTGCCAGGTCCCCTTATCAAGGTGAATGATCCAACAGTGACCAGGAAATAAGTTAAATGCGCACTCACCAGAAGTGCGTTTAAAATACGCATGAAAGAAGTATCCTCTCTCCTGGTGCATCTAGGTTCTCCCCACTCAGGTAAAGCTGCGCTCACTAGTTCTCACTGGTCATCAATCCTGGTCAGGTTCAATGGTACATCCGACACTTATACACCTCCGGAGTCCCTCCTTAAAACTTGGTGCTGTGAAAGGGTGGCGCTCATGGAGAGCCCAATAAGGGACATCACATAGCGTGATACTGCATAAACACTTTATTGAAAAGTAGCATACAATAGGATAGGATACTGACTGCAATCATGAAATAGATGTCCAGGTGCTGTAGCCCCTCTGACGCATTTCGTGCTAAGCACGTTCTCAAAGGGTGCAGGGCTTACAGCACAGACATCCTCTTGCTGCTATTTATAATTTGTAATGGCAATCGCGCTTGATGCGCCCGCCATTTTGCCGGCGCATGCGCATTTTGTCGTGGATCGCGATTGCTGGTAATGTCCCTCTTGTGTCTCCAAGTAGGTGCATAGCGCCGCCATTTTGTTGGAGGGAGAAGGGAGCTGATACATTGCTCTATACAACAAGCAAGGATCCATTCGTGGCAGGAAAATTTTAATATGTAAAGCCACAGGATTAATCATCCTCCTTAAAACTGGAAGTAATGGGCAACCAGCAGCTGAAAAAAGGGGGGAAGAGAAGGTTAAGAAGTACCTTTATAAAAAGGTTTTGTTTTATCGATATATAGTTTGCGCAGAACTAGACATCCATAATTTTGATGTCAATACCACGGGTATATTGATTTCATGATGAAATTTTCATCGTAGTAAGTTCTCTTCCTTATACTTACACATATCTGATACGTAACTATGATATATAGGTTATGTATATGTGTAAAAGGGTGGGCATAGCATATTACATATATGCATGTGACTGGCAAATAGATTTATATAGGGGTATATAGGTTTTTATAAAGGTACTTCTTAACCTTCTCAATCGCGATCCACGACAAAATGGCACCGGCGTACTGCGCATGCGCCGGTCGCCGGCAAAATGGCGGGCGCATCAAGCGCGATTGCCATTACAAATTATAAATAGCAGCAAGAGGATGTCTGTGCTGTAAGCCCTGCACCCTTTGAGAACGTGCTTAGCACGAAACGCGTCAGAGGGGCTACAGCACCTGGACATCTATTTCATGATTGCAGTCAGTATCCTATCCTATTGTATGCTACTTTTCGAATAAAGTGTTTATGCAGTATCACGCTATGTGATGTCCCTTATTGGGCTCTCCCAAGACCGCCACCCTTACACAGCACCAAGTTTTAAGGAGGGACTCCGGAGGTGTATAAGTGTCGGATGTACCATTAAACCTGACCAGGATTGATGACCAGTGAGAACTAGTGAGCGCAGCTTTACCTGAGTGGGGAGAACCTAGATGCACCAGGAGAGAGGATACTTCTTTCATGCGTATTTTAAACGCACTTCTGGTGAGTGCGCATTTAACTTATTTCCTGCTCACTGTTGGATCATTCTCCTTGATAAGGGGACCTGGCAGAATTGGCACATTGCACCCCATTATATGTTTTCGGACATTTGATTGAACATCGAACTTATATTTATGACGAATATACGATTTCATGTCCTCACCTGTTTTATTCTTATAATTGGATGTATGCTGATGTTTCACCTTTTCCATTACTAGCGCTGCACCTTTTTGTCTATATATACACTTACTAGATTATTTACATCAAAATTTATCTAAAACAATTTTTGTAATGTTGGATATAGTAGGGAATGCCTAATAACGCTTATCACGTATTTTTTATTATCCATTTGCATTGGGAAGATTTCCTTCTTTGTCCTGGAGACACAACAGAAAGTGAAGGGAAATTTCCCAGATATAAAAGGAAATCTCCTTTTAGTTGTCACTGCACCAGCTGTGCCCTTTGAAGGTATTCCCCTTTCTTTAAGGTTGTGTGAAAACTGTAAATGCCGATTCACATGTATGGTGCAGTTTGACAGCTTCGGTTTCAGTGCGATTTGAAAAACAGTCGATCAGTGGTTCAGGTCAAGATTTGAAGAGAGAAAACTGGCCTAAAATTATGGTCACAAACACATGTGATTCAGAAGAGGTTCCCACGGAAGTCAATAAGCCTGCAATCCACACCAGAAACGGACCGCACTGCTCAGAAATCGGACAGGACTCTTTTTCAATCAGCACTGCCAGTGCACTGGACGTATGTGAACAGGCACCATAGGAAGCAATGTTATTTCACATGTGGACTGGATGCGGTTCAAACCACTGCCAATTCGTAAATACGTGAACTGGCACTTAAGCTTTGGATTTCCCATCACTTTCTGTTAATAATGCTCACCAAGACAATTTCAAAATCTCCACAGCAAGGACAGTCATAAATAATAAACCTTACATGGGGTTCAGATGTTTCCTGCTTTACGCAAAAAAAAAAAAAAAAGATTTTGGTTTTATATATACAAAATCATTTGCTCAGTTTTACATATTGGATTACTAATGTGAACTATAAGTGTTTTGTGTAGAAGATTCCTTTTGTCCTGTTAGCCTTTGTGGTGCTGACTGCGTCGTATTTGCATTTTTACAGCCCAGCAAACTGTATGCATGCTCCCGATACTTAGAAGAAGCGTAGTAATACATAAGTGGATCCAGACAAGTGCTGACACTGCTGATACAGGTACACAGAATATAGGCAAAATACATAGACTCATCAAAGTTATTACGGAAATGCAGATAATGGAATAAAAAGATGACATTGGTTGGACCAAAGCAAATCAGGAAAGCAAAAAAATACCACAAAGGCAAGGATCACTGCTCTTGTTTTCTTACAAGAATTCTCAATGTCTTTGGTACTCAGTGTCCTGATGATGCCAATGTAGCATATAGTAGTAATAACCAAGGGCAAAAAGAAGAAAACTAAAGAAAAGGTGGTAAAATAATACATATAGAAGTTCTTGAGGTCCACCACATCCAAGACATCATGGCAAGTTGTAATGTTTAGTGTTTCCATATGCAAAGTTTGTTTGGATATAAGAAGAGGTAGTGAGCTGGCTATTGATATTATCCAGATGAAGAAGCAGACCAGCCAGGCTCTCTTCTTTGTTCTCCAGGTAAGAGCCTTCATTGTGTAGACCACAGCCAAGAATCGGTCCACACTGATGCTTGTCATGAGCAGGATGGAGCAGTACATGTTACAGTAGAAGGCAGCAGTGACAAAGCGACACATCCCATCTCCAACATTCCAGTTATTTCCAGAGAACCGATAAGCGATGCTGAATGGCAGCAAACTAACAAACAGGACATCAGCAGCCGCTAGATTTAGCATATAGACCACTGCTGGGGTTTTGATTTTTACCTTGAACACACACACAATGATTGCCATGATGTTCAGCGGCAAAGCCACAGCAACCACCAGGGTGTACACCGATGGCACAAACTTGGTCAACCACAGACTGGAGAGGTAGTACTGGGCAGTAACTGTAATGCTTTCATTGGCAACAAGGATTAATAATGGCCAATCTAAAAGGCAGAAGAAACACAATTGTTTAGATTCTCAGAAAGGTTAAAGCTGAACTTTAGGCTTACTTTCCATTTTGGAGAGTGATACAGACTCCTCTCTAGTACTGAAATTGCTTACTCAAATATTTCACTGCACAATGTCAGCTTCTCATGGTGTGCATTAGAAGCTGCAGCAACCCATCTCATTCACTGGCTAGAAGATTTCTTTTCAATAGTGTTTATTCGTTTTTTCATAAGAGAGAAGTTACAAACCAGTACAGAAAAATATACATCCATTCCCCCCCCATATAAACTGCAGCCCTTTTGGACTGAAACAGGCAATGCGCAAAATACAATGTTCAAAACATTTATCTGTTGATGGTGACCTGTGGATGGAAGATCTGCCACAACAAGATAAACAGAAAAAACAAAATCTAATGTAAAACTGTTTACACAGGTCGGAGTGGTCTAAGACACCAGACCTGACAAAGCAGGCAATCGCCATCAAATGTTCAACAGGCAATAAGGGAATATGCCCCTCATGGCCCTTGGTGTCCAATGGCTACAAGATTTCCAGCATCATCTAGCACTTTCCTCCTCAGCCTTACTGTCCATGATCCACCCTTTTCATTTGTTGTATTTCAGTTCCTTTGATCATGGAGGCTTACCATTACATGTGGGCATTACTTAGAGCAGGATGCCGGCAAATGTAGTCTGTCTAGGTATGCCAACTCCATCAGACTGATAACATGTATTTAGCACGGGTGCGCTAAATCACGTATATATGTGATTTAGCATTTCTGGGTAGGGGGGGCGCGCGCCCTACCTGTGCCGCCATTCGTGGCCACGGCTGTCAATCACTGCTATCCAGCCGGTAATTACTTGCCAGAGCCCAGTGATTTTCGAGGATCTCCGACTGGGAGGAGGACTGTTTTGTTTACTAACAGTCCTCCTCCCTATCAGCTTTTTTTTAGCATTGATCACTGTATTGTGTCACTGGGGATATCAGCGACACCAAGTCAGCTCCCCTCCTCCCTGTCAGCTCGGGCACACTGCTGTGGATGGCTGTGCACAGCACAGCACATCCATCCACAGCAGTGTGATTACAGTGAAGCAAACACACCCCGCCCCCTAGTAAAACACGCCCCTCATGTTAACCCCTTCCTGCCCAGTGCCATTAGTACAATGGTAGTGCTTTTTTTTTTAGCATTGATCACTGTATTGTGTCACTAGAGATAACAATGACACCAAGTCAGCTCCGCCCAGTGTCAGAATGTCCACTGCAGTCCAGCAGTCCCGCTATAAGTCGCTGATTGCCGACATTACTAGTAAAAATTAAAAAAAAACAAATCCCAGTATATATGTAAATGCTATAACTTTCACGTAAACCAGTTAATTTACACATATTATAATTTTTTCTAGCATAGACATGTAGCAGAATACATTTTGGCACAAATTTTTGATGTAATTTGATTTTTTAAATTATTTTACTGGACATGTTTAATAGCAAAAAGTCAAAAATATTTTTTTTTTCTCAAAATTGTCTTTTTTTTTCTAAAATAAAAGATGAACAGACTATCTAATACCACCAAAAGAAAGCTGAATTCATGGGAAAAAGGAACACAAATTTCATTTGGGTGCAGCGTTGCATGACCACGCAATTGTCAGTTAAAATAACGCAGGGTCATAACGAAAAAAATGGCCTGGTCAGGGAGGGGGGTAAATCTTCAGGAGGGTAAATGACTAAAAAGAGATTTATAAACTTGAAGAATTTGACTGATGGAGCCTATGAAGCAATAATTATGTATTTCATTTATTTAGTTCATATATATTTTATTTTCTTTTGAACAGTTGTGAGCAGAATTTTTTTCTCTCAAACACTTGCTTCACTAATTAAAGGGACTGATGTGAATGTACAATATATATATATGCAAATTGAAGGTACTATATAAGTGAATGGAGAAAGAACAGAGGGTGCACCGGCTTAGTGCATTACCATAAAAAATGTTTAATAAGAGATAAAAATAGGTATTGTACTCACAAACGACAGTAAAGTCAAAGGCACATCATAAAAGAACAGCTTGGACAAAGTTTCACTGCGTGACTGTCCGCAATGAGGAGTGTAGATATTGCTAACGCGTTTCAAGGACTTGCCTCTTCCTCAGAGCCACCAAGTACAATACCTATTTTTATCTCTTATTAATATTTTTTATGGTAATGCACTAGGCCGGTGCACCCTCTGTTTGTTCCTTCTCTATTCAGTATATTTGGCACTTCCCTGGTCTTTTGAGGGCAGCAAGGTGTGCATATTTCAGCACATTCATGATGTTGTCCTAGCCTACATTGAGTCCATCCCCAAGTGCAGGAGCATTTGTGTTTGCTGGTGCTATATAAGTACCTGTAATAAATAAATAAAGAGATGACCATAGTGGAGAGGTGTTGCAATGGGGGTTATTTACTAAAACTGGAATGTGCAAAATCTGGTGAAACTCTGCATAAAAAACAGCTTCCAGGTTTTATTGCCAAAGCTTAATTGAATAAACTGAAGTCAGAAGCTGATTGGCTACCATGCACAGCTGCACCAGATTTTCAGGGCACCAGTTTTAGTAAGTCTCCCCCAATGTGTCCCTGTAGGCTCTGGTACACATAGTAGATACAGACACTATGTTATTTTATAATGTTAATGTTTTCTACTCACCTGTTAAATTATGTATTCTCTCATTACCAAAGTGGGGAAAAGAATAAGAAACAGAAGGAGGTTCTATGTGCTCTGAAATAAAAAAAGTACATGTTTTCATTTAAAAAAAATGGTTTGTGATAAGGGTTGTTATACATCACAATTCTTCACAAAAAAATTAGATTTTTTTTTTACCTCTAAATGTTCCATGAAAGACAAAGGTCATAATGGTGAAGTTCATTTCTGTATTATTGTCTGAAAAAAAAAAAAAAAACGAGGATCACATTGGAAAGAAAAATAGCAGTCAGGTTAGGCAATTATCTCATTATGGTGTCCTTTTATGACACAGAGAATAGCTGCGATTCAACGGATCTCAGCTATTCTCTGGTCATTCACAGTTTATAACACTCAGGAGATCATGTCAGCCCTTCTCTGGAGATCTGTGTTCTCCCTCCAGATTCTCCAGCCCAGAGCTGAAGAATCAGAGGGACCGAAAACTAAGCAGAGATAGTTTACCTCTGTTTAGTAAACTGATCTTTTACTGTAATCTCGAGAGATTATAGTAAAATGAGCCATTTTTCAGAGTTTGTAGACCGTTCTCAGCGTTTGGAGATCGTTCTCCCTTCGTTCGGAGAACTGCTTCATAATCTGCATTCACAGGAGAACTGTGTTCTCCGAGAATGCCGGAGAACTGAGCAGCGATCTATTACCGCTGGTTCATAAACGGACACCTAAATATTTGTAATCAGCAGCTCCCATGACACCATCACAGAACCATTACTATCTTGTTTCTTGGTGGTAAATAAGAGAGAGGGTACATTTCTTTCAACTTTGTTTTTAATTGCTCTCTCTCTCTCTCTCTCTCTCTCTCTCTCTCTTTTTGCCCTCTGGTTTACTCTGGTATTGAGATTTTATTATTGGTCTCTGTGTGGTGTGGTTTCAATCCCACAGCGATTACTATTTGATGTTTGTATATTGGTATGCTCCCCCCCTACCACTTACTGTTAGCACAGCCTTTAGCCGGACACTCCCTGCCTCCCCTTGCTGTTCATTTAATTTCACTTTACCTGAAGAGTTAGGCTGGCCATACATTATACAATTTTCTTGAGATTTTCGGTTTAGATTTACCAAAAACCACATAATAGGAGGTCAAACCTAAACAACACTTTCAATTGTATCCAATTAGACAGGCTCTTGCACTACATAGTTGAAGGTAAATCTAAAGGAAATTGGGCAGAAAATTGGACAGAAAATTGTATAGTGTATGGCCAGCCTTAGGCTGAAGACACATGAGCGATTCTTCCACTATCACCAGATCGCCAGCAGCAGGATCACTAAAGAGGCTGTCTGTCCCTAAGGAATCCCTCCCTCTGTATCCAAATGCAGTGAGTTGTTGTTCTGCCGCTAGCCTGAATCTCGAATGTTGGTGATGCGAAGGATATTTTCCTGTCTTGGCAATTCCAAAGAGTGTGTTGAGTTTATATGTCTGTTTTAGTTTTTTCTTCTCAGACTTACATAGAAGGATCTGTTTGTTTGTTTGTCTTAGGCTGGCCATACACTAGTCAATTTTACTTACAATTTTCTGTCCAATTTCTGCCCAATTTCCTTTAGATTTACCTTCAACTATGTAGTGCAAGGACCTGCTTAATTGGATACAATTGAAAGTGTTGTTTAGGTTTGACCTCATATTATATGGTTTTTGGTAAATCTAAAGCAAAATTCTCAAGAAAATTGTATAGTGCATGGCCAGCCTTAGAAGCAGGCATCAAGTTTCTTTGATTGTTTGAGCGGACACTTTCTCCAACAAATGCTATTGAAAACCTTTTACACAAGCTCTTCACTAAAACAATGAGAGCTTAGATACTATTGTTCTATTTTGGGCTAAAGTCAGTTGGTAGCAGGGGTGGACTGACAACTCATGGGGCCCCCGGGCAATAGGGGATCATGGGGCCCCTGTGTTCTTGCCCACACTCCAGAAAGCCTATAAAAAAGGTACCAGGGGCATGTCATGGGGCCCCCTACTGACCCTGGGCCCTCGGGCAGTGCCCGAGTGCTCGAATGGTCAGTCCGCCCTTGGTTGGTAGTTAACCGCTTCCCGCCCGCCCTATAGCAGATATACTACTACAGGGCGGCAAGGGTGCACAAAATCACATATATACACATGATTTTGCATTTCCAGGTAGGAACCTACCCACACAGCCATTCGTGGCCGCGGCAGTCAATCACCGGGTCTCGGACGGTGATTACTCGCCGGCACACGGTGATTGGTGAGGATCTCCAATGGGGGGGGGAGAACTGTTTGTAAACAA